AGTACCCCACCCCCAACAACAACAACAACAAAAAATGATTCAGAGATAAGAGATAAATTGAAATGTCCCTGGCAAAAAGATGCTCACAGAACATTAAAGATTAGTAGTGAATCCCAGCTCACTACAAAGAAAGAAAGCAAAATTTATTTTCAGTGACTGGGAAAGCTAACTGTGGGATGAAAGCTGCAGGGATTGAAATATTGTTAAGGTGAAGCAAGAAGAGAAAGGAAACGTCCTTTAGAAAAGTACTGTGCCCCAAAAGTCATTTGTGCTGCTTTCTAAAACTTGTAGTAGCCTCCTGACACATAGTTCCTACAATTCTTCCCAGAGAGAACCTTCTCTTTTTGTTCAAAAAGATAATATCACTTTCTGTGACTAACGAACATCATGTTTTTGAGACACTAGTGGTTGCTATGGTAACCTGATTGTGTGGGATAAAAAGCACGTATCATCTTGATGGTTGTTACAGGACTTACTGCAGAATTTGGAAGCCCTCTCAGTGTGCTGCAGGCTTTGCTGGCAGGCTGTTGGCAGTGGTCTGGCATTTTTCTGTAGGATTACTATAAGGACCAGGTTAACCTGAGCCCCTTTTGCTGGTGTCCTGGAAGGTGAAGGAAAAGATAGAAAAGATGGAGTCAACATTAGGCCAGCAGTGGTGGTGATGATTACATGGAATTTTAACCTGAGCATTTGGTTTAAGGATGGGAGGAAAAGTCGTTTTCTGAGATCAGCCTGGAGTCGTGGCAGAGATGCTCCAGAATCAATTGAAAAGGAAGGTCCCTGGCACAGGAGGGCTTATGGTGTTTCAGACACAGAACCTGTATATAAAAATCTGGAGATCTGGCTTCTCAGCTGATACAAATCTTGCCTTATTTGGTGATCTTTAAACACATTTCCTGATGTCTCTGATCCTCATTTTCTTCTCAAGTGTGAGCATAATTTACAAGGTTCCTTCTTTAGTTGTAATCATCTGTAATAGTAGGTTCCTGAATAAGAACAGAGCTTTAGAAAATATAACCCCAAAAGCCACTGAAATATTAAAATCCCCTGGCCTGGCTTTAGATCCTATAAAAAATGGGAAGTTCTATGTCTGAGTTGCTTCAGTTACATTTTTTTAAAATTCTTCATATGAACAATAAATATAAGGAAGTACACCCATGACAGCTTAGATTTCCAAGAAGGCCCTGAATGTTAGGCCCCTTGCCATATGAACCAGAGTGGGTTGACTTCTTCTAAGAAAATGTGTAGAAGATAAATAGTTGCCTTCTCTGCAGGAGCATTCATTTCCAGTGACACAGCGTCAATCACCTATGCCCAGAACTGAAAGCAGGAGATTATGTTCGAGTTGGAACAAAGGTCACAAATGAAGACTGTTCTTACCCACAAACTTCTAATGAGGAATCTTCAACACACTTTTTATTCTTACTGCATTAGAATTAGAAAACTTTCCTGCTGATAGGGCTGTCAGAATCAAATCTGGGATATACTTGGTTTGATTATTATTTTTTTTTTTTTGGTGGGGGGATTGTTTTTTAGTATAGTTTTTGGGCGGCTGAATCTGACAAACCTACCCAATGACTTTTATCATAGCCTATAGCCAAGAAAACATAAAAGAGGAAAGAAAGATTTATTTCCCTTTCCACCAATAGAGTGCATCATATTTCTGGACTAGACAAAGGAAAATTGACCTGATATGTATTTTATATATATTCATATGTATAATATATATTTAATATATACTTATATATAATGTATAAATATATATAATAATATATAAAATAAAACAAGACATCTAAGGAGCTTGAGTCTCGGCTCTAACCAGGTACAAAAGAGAAACAGGAATAACTTTCTAGAGAAAGCCATTTTCTCTTTTGCTTTGAGACTTTCTCAAATGATGACTTAAACTTATCAATTCTTAAACATCTTAACTGGCTTTGCTCTAATTAACAACACTGTGTCATCAACAGTTTGCAAGTTCTGTCCCAGCTAAATATTAAATATTTATCAAGAATGGATACCGAAGAAGGCTCTGCCTGGGTATGAAAGTAGAGTCAGTTTGAGCAACAACCCACAGTTCAAAGGAGGACCAACGAGAGAGAACAAAAATGAGAATTTTCCCTCCAAAATGGAAAGTTTTTGAGATAAAAGTGGAATGTGTGGGACTGGGTAGCAGCTGGAGCTCACATTCCAGAATCGTAAAGATTTAAGCCAAAAGATGACTGTCATACACAGAATTCTCCTGGTCAATTGGGAAAGAGATTAGACTGGAGCCACCTAAAAAAGCATAGACAGTTTCTGCATAGAAAACAGTTGTCCATAGTACCAGATGTCCTAGCTTTCCAACTCTTTAATCCATTTGTTGCAGCATGTACTGTATGCCTGAAGCTGTGATCAGAAAAGCTCCCAACTAGGCAGAAAAGACATGCACATTTGAAATTGTTAGAGGTAGAACCAGGGATAGCTAAAACAGATAGGCAAAAATCCTGGTGAGGTTAAACCATCAACAAATATGATGGTAGAGGTAAAGTTTGAGATTGATGGAGATGAGAATGGTGGACTAAAATATTTGAAGAGGAGAAATGGGGAGATGGAAATACCATGTTGGGCATACCATATTGGAAGAAGATGAGTCGAAGCATGGACTGGCGAGTATATAGAAAGAGAAGCTGACCCTGCATCCCCGGGTAACTCTATCCTATTCCCATCATCCCCATTCCTGTGTGGGATAAGTGATTCCAGAGAAGAGGGTTATAGTGCCCAGGATTCCCCTGCATGGTGAGTCCAAGCTCCACTTAGACGTGTGGAGTCTTTGGTATTTCCCAGGACCCTCTTCCCTGAGATGAAGGTGGTGATAAAATTCCATGAGAGAATTAATCCTCTGATTTGAGGACGGTACACTGATCTGAATATTACAGGTGAAGGATCTACCCTCACAAACAAAATTAGGTTTAGAAAAAGTTTTCATGTCATGCCCAGCCTCAGATTTGCTCTCTCCCCTTTCAGTTAAACATCAGGTCACAGTCTTTCTTGCCCAAGTCTTCTGTCACAGGAGAAACTTCTTTGCACCAATGAGTATTCTATTATTACAAGATCAAAACTGAGTGAAGAAGGAAATGCTTAACACAATGAATAGCAAATGTAAGAAATTCAGGTGACAGTAGAGGAGATATTAAGCTTACATGAAGTAGGCCATTACCCCATGGATCTGAAAGGTACCTGGAAGGTCCTTTGTCCAAGATCCTCTCTCTCTTTTGATCTACCATCAAATATAGAAAGAAGTAATCTCTCTGAAGACATTTGGAGTAGTAGAAATGGTACCAGACTATCCCATGGGACTCCTTAATCTGTGTGTTTCCTCATGGTTCCCAACCAAAGGCCAAAAGAACAAGAAGCATAATCTTCTACATAGTAAAGACTCATTCTAAGCATTAACCATTACCCTGTTTTGAAAGATATATTCATTTTCATTTAACAAACTTTTATGGGGTCATTTCATTTGTTTGTTCTGGGGAAGAAAAAATGAAAAGAAAGATCAGGAGTGAACAAGGAAGGAGAGAGAAAGAGACAGAGGGACAGAGAGACTGAGACAGAGGCAGAGACAGAGAAAGTTGCCTAAAACAGCAATTCTCAAAATCGGGTACCAGAAGGTCAAGCTTTTGAAAATGTTAACTTTTGGATCCACCACCCAAAGATTCTGATTCAATGCAGCTGGGGTTATTAAGTACAAATCCGTGAGCTACGTGATCCAGTGTATTTGATTACAGGTGGTCCCTGACCACACTGAGAGTCATGCAAGACAACAACAGGATGTGAAGGTCAAGAACAAGAAACCTAAAGTGAAAACCAAGTAGATTGTGGCTATGAAATGGTTAACCAAGAACCAGAAAGACCTCTGTGAGCCAGGTCCCGGTCTTACCAGGTGATAGCAACATATAATGACGGGTGTTTCACCCACATTTGCAAAATACTCCACTTGATGCCACAGTGGAAAGCTTCAATTACCATGAAGGCAGATCAAAATGGCTGCAAGAGGCACAATGATAATCCTGGAGTTGCCATGGCAACTGGAATAGTTGTGAGGGGAGCTGAGAAAACCCTGGGCAAGGAAAAGGAGGTGAAGAACCTGGGTTAAAGAGCATGCCATGTAACCTTTATAGGACTACTAAATCTGTGTTAACCCACATTATATCCTAAATCAGAGAAATCAAAAAGGAAAAGGAAGAAATCTTCCTAAAAATGGCTTGCAGGAAATTAACTGGTGCAAGGCTGACTTATGAAGCATTATTTGCCCTTTTGTTTCTTTCTATTTTTTTTCACAGTACTTCTAACATTGGAGACACCGTTGAACTAATCAAAACCAAACTCAAACACAACATTCAAATACAAGGATGATAAAGACAACTCTTTAAAACAACCACCAAACACTTTTATTTAATTAAAAGTATTATACACGTTGTTGCATTTTCATGGAAAATATTGAGTTAAAAAACACCAACAATGTTAGTTTTCAGAAACTTTCATGCACCCCATTCTGCCAACTGCTGCTTTCTTCTGTCTGTGGCATTAACTATGCATCTGTAAGGGCCCATGGAACTGGAGCTTCTTAGGAGGTCATGCCTATGGCTTTCCTGGAGTGAGCCACTGTCTTGACAACAGTGTCCTTTCAGATTAACACACATACCCCAGTTTTGGCTTCCTTATACATCATTAAAAGAAGCTGTTATAAATCCTCAAAGCTCATGTCAACACCAATTTAGTGCATCTGAGTACTGCCACAACCTCACCTAGTTTCCAAGCTAGTTAGCAAGTGACTGTCTTCTACCTGGTGTATTAGTGTCCTGAGATCCTCCACAAACTTCCCCCAGAACCCATAGTGGGAAGACACTGTCATATAGTGTTTATATTCAAATCATTACCAAATACACAAAAGCACATGTAACCTTCATGCACAATACTATTTAAAAAAAATACATATTGGTACAATATAACCTTTGGAATCACTGGCTAAAACATAGTCAAGTGAATGTTTTTTTTAAAAAAAAAAACGTCATGTAATTATATATTTGCTAAGAGAAATAACACAGAAAAAAATTTTAAAGATCATTTCAGCTACAAACATCTCACTCATAAATACAAGGTGTGTACAGTCTAGTCCTCTCCCTTTGCACTGTCATTCCCTTAGTTCACTGATCCCCACATCATAATGCTGTATCCTCACATCACTCCCAAGTGATTCTTTTGCTAAAATTGGGTCTGATGTGATAGAAACATCTTGGCTCCATTTTCTTGCTCCTTTGATTTAAATTGTAGTATGTTTAATGTGAGTTCTATATCCAGCTTTATGTTAAAGCAAGACAAATTCCTCTCCAGAATACACCACAAAATTTTTTAAAAAATAGCTGGATAGTTAAAAAGGAAAAGAAAAGTTAAAATTGTCTCAGCTCTTAGAAGTTGAAATACAGTCTTTCTTTCTTCACAAAGGTCTCTCAATTGGAATAAAATAAGGTTGAAATTGCTTTTCACATTCTGGCTCTGTTGGGGGCATTTTCACATAGACCCCTGTTGTAAGAGGGCTTCTTTTCTTCAACTGTTAAACACAAAAAGAAACAGTAATTATTATCAAAGAATATAGAAGCCACTTCTAGCCATAATATTTCTCAGCACCTATTGGGGTCCCTACCCCAATGAAAATGAATGTTCACTGTGTACAGAATTAGAAAGTCAAGGAAATTCTCTTGATTCAGCTATTGAATTTCATTTTAGATAAATAATTCTGGAATTTAGACATAAAAGAACAGCCATTTTCCCTAGCTGGAAGACAGAAGAAAAAAAAAAGAGGTTTTGAGAAAACTTCACAGAAAACACCCAGAATTCCTACAATAATAGACAAGATCTTGTCTGTGGAGGAACCAAGTTAATAAGATAATCAAGTTTACCTATCCTGTGGAAGAGCTCCATATCTTATCTCCAGTCCTCATATGCTTTTTATTACTTTTTCTCTGTCTTTTTTTATCACCTTGGTCAAATGAGGTCCAGTCTGATAGTCTGTGTGGTACTTTGTAGCAAATGAGGCAGGAAGAACCCATAACAACAAAACATCACTATCATGTAGAGTAGAGGCTCTTTGAATAGTGTCTTCATTTGCGTATGTGTGTGGCGGAGGGGGACAGCAAGAAGAGGAGGAGAAGAAGGAGGAGGAGGAGAAGGGGAAGGGGAAGGCAGAGGAGGAAGAGGAGGAGGGAAAGGGAAAGGGGAACCAGAAGGAGGAGGAGGAGGAGGAAAAAGAAGGAGAGAAAATGGATTTGTGATGAGAAAGTCAGCTTTAGACAAAGTTGACTGAAACAAACTGTTAGGAATCTTGACAGGAGTCCTGATTCCATACTTCTCTCTCCTCCACCATCAACCATTGTAGTAAATCATAACGGGGACTTTCATTTTCTGAACTGGAGTGGAGACCAAGACATCTATGTATGTTAGACTGGATAACAGGGGCAGCTACAGCTCAGACAAGGAGGGCATAAGTATGGCAACAGAATATGGTTTCCAGGCGAAGCACAGGACATTTAGGAGGAGAATAGAAACCAATCCAGGTGATCCTCATTAGCAACATGTGGCCCAACATAATCTATAAGTATTTCAGGGTTATTAACTCAAGTATAAATGTCATGAAGGTAAAGAACAAAACAGCTGCCCCATATTGTTCAGTTACTCAAACTGAAACCCTGTTCAGAAGCACACAAACATTCAATGTCAAACACACTCATCTGCAATCTTAGTCATCCTGAAACCTCAAAGGCCAATGCTTAGTGCTAGTGTGTTCTTTACCACTGTCCTTCCTCCTCTTCATTTATTGCTTCATATATTTTTTTTAAAAAAATTGAATCTGACACCAACATTTGGTCAGTAGATAACACTGAAGACGACCCCATTAATCATGGAGCCTGGTCAGTATCACACTCACCATTTTACTCAAAGAAACAGCTGTGACGAGGAAGCTGTAAAAAAACAACCCCGAACTAACTGCTGCAAGGATCCAAAGAAGAAAGTCAGAATCTGGGCATGGTTCTGGTTCTGCAACAGAAAACAAAGCAGAGCCTCCCTGAGATAGTTTTAAACTTTCAGGCCTTGCTTCCCCCAAGAGTGAAAAGAAGTTGGAGCTTCTAGATCTTGCAGTTTAGCCCTAAATTGTATTGGTAAGCCCACAGATATGACTACGTCCTCAGAGTGTTAGATCAAAGGCATAAGGCCAAACTTCATGATGGATCTAACAGAGTGAGTACTATATCACTCTGTTAACAGGAGAAAAGCACCTTCCCCAACTCATCTTCTTTTGTATTCAGAATAATTGTATGGGAGAGAGCTCTTAAGGAGAATTTTCATAAATCCTAAAAATGAATCACCTTGAAATTAAGGAACAAACTATTTTTGTACAAAGACAGCAATGCAAAGTGTCAACTTGGTGAAGTGGCTTTGCTTACCAATGACATAAATCTGGGTTCCGTTGCCCAGGCCCATATAGTATGGTGGTGGGTACATGACCTCCACCTTGCAGATGTAGAGCCCAGTGTCTGCAGTCCTCAGTCCTTGGATAGTGAGATTCACCTGGTTTCCACTGGATGTGCCAGAGCAGCTGGAGTCATCTAGGAAAGTCAACTCATTCTCCACTGTGTACGTTGTGGCACAGACCTCAGTCACTTGGCTGGCTATCTGCCGCAGCACTGTCACCCGGACCTCCGTGGCTTTGTGAAAAGCTGCATACTCACACACAAAGCTGGCAACTCCCCGGCTGCTGGCCAGCACCACCGCAGGCTGGGCCACGTGCATCGCTAACATGGAAAGGCCAAAGGAAACTCAATGAACTCAGGTGCATCCCTGGCCCATTCCAAGCACCTGGCAAGGTTTATCTTTGATGAGCCCCCACTGGCTTCACCTCCCAGTCCGTAGCTCCCCCTTCAACAAGCCCACCACCTTCCCCTACCCTCTCCCTCTCTATCCATTCCCTCCATCACTCAGCCGTCTTCCAGCTATGCCCCTTAAAGATGGGTCCTCAATGGCATATAATTTCTTGAAGAAATTATAGTAGGTAGTCATGGCAAGAAGAGCGCTAATGTGATAAGACCTGGCTCTATCATAAAATATGTCATTTTGGAAAGTCACTCCTCCCCTTCATTTTTTTCACATATAGTAAGATGGGGAGTAGACCACACAATATCAAAGTGCCTACATACTCCAGAATCCTAAGGTCATAATAGAACTACACAGCTCAGTGACTCGAATATGAGTACTAGGGGAATTTCTGGAGGGTGAAGCACAGAATCTTGTTTAATCTCTCAAAGCATACCTCAAAACCTCCTGCTGCTTATCTAACTGACTCTGTACCTCTACTACCCAGGAACAGCAGAACCTGGGCTCTCTGCACTGTCCAACCTCTTCCCTGGCTTTATTGCTGTACCATGGCGTGTGCTGTTAGATGAGGAAGCCACAGAGCCAAGGGCACCAGGTCGTTTCCTCTCTGGGTTGAGGCAACCCTGCTGTTAACTTCTGTGGGCTTCCCCTGCTACTATCACCACCTCTTCCACCCTCCCTCTCTCCTCCACTTGAAGGCTCTCCTACTCTTTTGTTCTTCTTCTAGAAGATAAGGGAGGCCATTTCTCCATACAAAGAGGCTTCCAACATCTAAAAAACAGTGGCTTTATGTCTAATTAGCCTTTTTTGTAATTAATAAGGCCTCTCTCCAGTCAATATTGAAAGTGATATCCAAAATTTAAGTTAAGCAATGTCATTCACTCATCAGCTCAAACACTTTGATGCTTTACTAACATGGATTGCAAAAGCAAATAAAATAAAAGAACATTCAATTCCTCCATTATGCAGTTCCAATCTTCCATTGCGGGATGAAGTTTCTGAGACAACCTTTTCTGTCTATAAATCACCCTGTAGTAGACAAACTAGTCCCTTCCCCCAAGCACCTGTACAGGACAACATTTGTCCTCAGGAAAGACAACAATATGGCAGCAGCCATTACCATTGCTATTTTAGCATCCCTAGCTGATAAGACAAGAGTCGCCTTGCCAAACTTTATTTCTTCCTATCAGAGATGCCCTCTGAGCATCCTTTTCCCTATAGTAACTCCACTGCAGTGTTTAAGAAGTTCTGCCCCAAATTAACTTTTTTTGTGAGCTAATCATATCTCCCCTCTTTTCTGCCTCCAGTGCCTGGGAGCAGTAGGTATATACTGCCCAATGAACACTTGATTGTATCAACTCTAAGCCTAAACAGGACCAAATTTCCTGCCCTCCCCCAGGTAAGCTTGTCCTTATCATCACTAAATCTGGTCACATTTTCCAATATCCAACATGTGAGGAGCCTATTTACAGGATGAGATAAATTTCCTAAAAAGGAAATTGAAATACTTCCAATGGCATTAATCTCAACATATTCAAAATATAAAAAATAAGAAAGTATACATGACTATTTCTTTTCCAATAAAATTTAAATCATCAAATATCTTTTGAGTACTTCCTTCATACTAACCACACAGTTTTCTTAACTAAAAATGTCTGGAGAGAGAAAGAGAGAGAGAGAAAGTTGAGATTCAATGGAAGCACTCATCAGTTCAAGCCATGGAACAAACTGGGTACCGATCTCTAAAGAGCTTTATTTTATCTGAAACTAAAGGTCTGCCTCTGAAATGCACATGTAGGTCAGGCAATTGAGCATCTTACCCCAAATAAGATTGATGACTTCCTTCCTTCCTTATTTCCTTCCTACATTTCTCTCTTTTCCCTTTTTTCTTCCTTGCTTCTTTCATTTTTATTTATTTTATTTTATAAAATTGGCAAAAAAATCTATAAATAATTGGCTAACTGGTTAATAAAATCAACAGGATCTGCTTTAGGACCTTGAATTGAATAATGAAGGCATTCTTCCCAAAATTTCCTTAAATTTTAAAAAAGTTAGCTAATCAGCGTATAAAATTAATGAATTGGAAGACCTTAAAACTTTGAATTATATAGAAAAAAAAACACTTCCTGTGATTTGCCTAAATCCATTTTTATAAGAGGGAAATCTTGAAATTCCCTGATACCAAGCTCACACGCATTTAGGACTGTGGATGTTTTTCCCTTTTAAATCATTTAATTTTAGAGTATTTTTTTTCCTAATGTTATTGAAGAGTCTGAAATGGCCCGTGTCTCCCAAACCAACTCACATGTGTTCATTCATCCCCTGCTAAAAACCTGGTACTCTGCAATGAGCTATAGCTTTGCTTACTGGCTGCTTCCACCTGTCCCCTGCTTGCCTCGGAACGCAGAGCCACCCCGGCCAGGGGACAGGAGATTCACCTTTACCTTTTGTTTCTGCTATAAATCACTGCCCTGAACTGCTGAAAGAAATGAAACCCAGGTGGGAGAAACACCTCCTCCACCTTCATGCTCCAGAAATCTCCACTCACCTTTGGAGAAGATGGGGATGAAGAGAAGAGAAAGCAGGGCAGTGCAGGACCAGGCCCTGGAAGCTGGCTCCAAGCCAGCCTCAGGCCTCTGGAATCCAAGGCAAGCCATTGCTTTACGGGAGCCACGTCCAGGTCCTTAGGAAGCAGAGTGAAACCTTTCAGGATCCTGAAGCTTTGAAATATGTTTGAACCCACACAGAATCAAGGACTTTTTATAGACAGCTTTGATCCCAGGTGTGTATCACACATGTGCACACCCAGAAGGCGCCTGAATAGAAAGCCTTTTTGTTTTGGTTTTACGAGAAAGGAAGTCGTGGGTTTAACTACTACGTCGAAAAGACAACCTCAAATACTCAAAGTAAAACTGAACAAAACAAGCCAATCCATGGATGGAAAAAAATGTATTCAATTTGAAACTGAAGCTTCATGTTCACTTTAGGGATCTGGATAAGTTAAGACTTGGAGAATTTCCTGGAGAGCAGGGTCCCCCTAAATCCCAATTTTATCCATCTTACCAGCCCAGTCATTTCACTGACAATCCAAAACTGCTGGGCCCTCTGAGCTAATGACAGAATTTGTCTGTGGACATCGTTAATAAGAACTCTGCTTTCAATCTGTGAGGCACCATCATTTTTAAGAATCCTTTGGCATACTTTACAAATAAGAATTTATTTCACCTAATCCCACTTAGCACTTTAGTGAAAGAAAATACCAAAATCACAAGAAATTAACCAAAAAAAAAAAAAAAGAGGCAGGAAAAAAATGTCTCTGGTTTTGCAGATTAAGAAAGAATCCAGATATTCTTAAAAGCCTACTTGAAGACAAAATGAAGTTGGAAAAGTCCAGAAAAAGTTAGCCAAAATGATCTAAGAAATTAAAAACTTCCATAGAGGATAGATTTTTTTCTAATAAGAATTTTTAAACATAAAATACAAAAGCTAAGGACAGATACAACCTGAATTCTTAGATTTATAAAAGCTAGATGGAGGGGGGGCTGGGATTGGGGTTCAGTGGTAGAGCACTTGCCTACCATGTGTGAGACACTGGGTTCGATCCTCAACAACACATAAACAAATAAAGATATTTTTTTTAAAAAAAAGCTTGATGGGACAAAGTTTCATCTAATAAATTATTAGATGGAAATCTAATTTAGGATGCTAAATTTTTAGAATATTTAGCATTTACAATATTTAGGTATTTTATATTAACATATTAAATATTTCAAATGCATTGTTTAGAATACTGAACATCAAGGACTCCCTCCTTCAATCCGGGGAGCATTCATACATTTCAAAAGAAGAAAGAAACATCTACTGAGAACCTATAACATGTGAGGAATTGTGTGCACTTAGGATGGGCTGATGACAAGACAAAAACAATTTTGTTGTTTAAGGGACTTCTAGAAGACTGACGTGTGAAAAGACCGTTACAACAGGGAATATGGCATTTGCCAACTGCAGTTCTTCCGTGGCTTCCTGTTCTCCTCCCACCTCAGCACAGGAGGCTCCTGTAGGACAGGAACCTAATGCTTCCCTTTTCAGCCTATCTTCCAGCCTTACCTCACATGCCCTCTTCCTCTGCTTCTTATTTCTCCAACGTGCTTCTTTCAAGGATCACTTCTACGCAAGCTCCCTACTGCCTGTCTTCTCCCCTTATCTCCTTTTCCCCTCCTTCTCATTCTCCAGTACTTACTAAGCTGTCACCTCCTTCCGGAAGCTTCTCATGACCTGCCTCTTCAAACTTCAGCCAAATGCCAACAAGCAATGGCAAGCCTAATGGTCACTGAATAAGGGCCAGACCCAAGACGAGGCACCGGAGATTTAAAAGGGGAAAATATATATTCCTGCCCTCAGGAGGAGCCCACAGCAATGACAGCTAAACCTATGATTGTAGTAGATTGGGAGAAATGCTAGATTTGAGGTACTGTACTGGCCACAGAGGAGTGGAAGCTTTTGGTTGGGTTTGAGGACATCAGAAAGGGCTTCTTAGAGGAAGAAAAGTATTCTTCCTGAGCTAATTATTAAGGACAAGCCTGCCTATGTGCCAAGGTTGAAAAGGACAGGAAGAGCTCTTGACAGCCAGAGGACAAAACTAGTAGGTAGAAGCTGATGTCCTTAGCAGTCAGTGAGGGCCAGTTTGAAGCCCAAAGAGCAAATTGGCACAGTTGAGTTCTCATTTTTAGGAAATTGCACAGAAAGGAAGCTTGGGCAGGTGGATTCAAGAAGGAACAAGTGGTAACTAGGGAATGTGGCCCAGTGGTTGAGTGCCCCTGAGTTCAGTCCCAGATACTACCCCCGCAAAAAAAAGATGTAACCAAGAAAACCAGGAAGGCAACTACTGATACCCCAAGCACCAAAAGTTGGAACACTTTTTCTGTAAAGGGCCAGATATCATGACATAGACCATATAGTCTCTGTTGCCCCTTCTCAACTTGCCACTTCAGGGCGAAAGCAGCCGTAAATTATACTTTCTAAAATGGGCATGGCTACATACTAATAAAACTTACAAAAATAGCTAAAGGCTGGATTTGACCTATGGGTTATAGTTTGTCAACCCCTGGCCAAAACTAAGGTAATGGCAGCTATGGAGATATTGTCCCTAAAGAGACTGCTCTGTAAATCAGTGAGTGGAAGGATAAATTTAGGGTGACACAGATTTATGTCTTGGGAGGCATTATGGTGCTGTCAAGAACTGAGCAAATGTTTGCAAAATTTTGTCTCATAACACCCATATAAGAAAAGAGTCATTATTTTCCCTGTTTTATTTTTTTTAGTTTTAATATTTATTGATTTTATTTTTTAAATACATGACAGTGGAATGCATTATAATTCTTATTACACATAGAGAGCACAATTTTTTCATATCTCTTATATAAAGTATGTTCACACCAATTCATGTCTTCATACACGTTCTTTGGGTAATGATGTCTATCACATTCCACCATCATTGCCAACCCCCTGCCCCCTCCCTTCTGACATTGACTGTTAAAATGACTCATTCAATCCCCTACAATAGTTGATGGAACCAAGATTTGAAGCCCATGTTTCTCTTAATCACTACCCTAAAGTAAAGGCTTAGGTAATGTGTGTCACATGTAGAAAAAGGTTTCATATGATGTCTGGGCACTCAAATATTGAAGAATCCTTCCCTATTACAGAGTTACTGAGAAGACAGAACTACTGGAATATAGAACATGGAAAGCATGTGAAGTGAACGTGGTGACTTCCCTTTGGGTGTGTTGAGTGTATGGCATCTGTGGAGAGATCCAAAAGCAGTTGCCAATAGGAATCTGGAGCACCAAGAGATAAGATCTGAAGACACTAGCTTAAGCAACCATAAAGCTACTGATGAAAATTTGGCAGTCCAAGTCATCAAATGAACACTCTCTGTACCCATTTGTTAAAAGAATAGATAAATGAATGAAAACAGTTTAACACAAGAAGAAATGAGTATTGAGACAGGAACTTTTAAAGAAATCCTACTAAGTTCCCTAATTGTGCTTTTATGAAACAATTTCTGTCATAGCAAGAAAATTAAATGGTTGTAAAGACCACTGGATGAAAGAATGTTGGAGGAAAAGATATACTCATGTATAGAACCCCCATAGATTATTTGCTAATTTCAAATGGGAAAAGATGACTAACAACCAAGTGATCCACCTGAAGATCACCCATAATGAAACATTATGATATCATGTACCTCCAGGTGCACTGCACTGAGGAAGACACACTGTCCCTATAGTATTATTGCCAATATTATTTAAACTGATAATGAAGAAATAATCTGACACATCTATGGTCTGCATTACTATAGGCTTAGAACTACATTTCCTCACACTTGTTAAAATAATAAAATATTATAAGAGAAAAAGGCTGGAAAATAACTCTAAAGAGGAGTCAGGAAGAGTGATGATTCAAAGTGTGATCCTTGACTGTGCATATTCGTGAACCTTGTGAAAATCTGAGAATGAACTATATGTGATAATAGCACTGATTTAATGTTAATCCTGAGTCTGGACATTGTATTACATAGAGAAATATCTTTATTTTTAGATGATACTTAAGTATTCAGGATTTAAGTAACTCACAAGTGATTCAGTAAAAAAATGTGTGTGTGAGTGAGTGTGTGTGTGTGTGTGTGTGTGTGTGTGTGTGTGTTCGTGTTGGCAGCAAAAGAGAAAAAAGAATAAAAGAACAGAAAAAATGTTTACAAATGATAAATGTAGGTAAATAATATATATGTGTGTGTTCATGGTACTATTCTTAAAAATTCTTTGTAAGTGTGAATTTTTTTCAAAATAAAGAGTTGCAAGTAAAAATTATAAAATCAGCTATTAATAAGCTATAAATACCACAGGTAAGCAAACTGAAATGTAGAGAGAGCAAGTGACTTCCTTCGTGGTTATTCTTCATCTCCTTTCCTCAGACCCTTGCTTCTGGTTGACAGGTCCCTGTGAACCTCTTCAGGGTTCCCTGGTAGGTTGGTTTCTGGGAGGGCTTAGTGGATAGGAGGCACAGTAGAAGATCCAAAAGCCCAAGGATGGAGTCAGGGTATTTTTATTCTATTCCCCCCAATATTCAGGGTCTTGGATTCTGGTAGTAACAGTGCCTCTTCACAAGTACAGCTCCTATAAGGTGCCCCCCCCACCCTTTTTATGATGCCAGTTCTTACTGAAGTCTGGTAACACTCTTTCCTCTCCTGGTCCTTCAAATCCAGCTGTATTATCAGCATTCACTGTTGATAGTGTCCAGGTGCATTATCATTCTCACCCTCCTTAATATCTCTCAAAGAAGTACTCTCATTGAGTCACTTATTTGAACCCCATTTTTCCTGTTGAAATTTTTATTGATCCATTCTTATAACTGCAAGTGACAAAAATTAGATTTAAGTCTTTGTTTTCTCATTCCCTTCCAGTACTTATTTTCCCTGTTGTCTTATGAACAATGATAACATGTCACATGATCCAGGCTTGTGTTTATTACAATCATTTGTATATAATTCTGTCTCCTCTACTCCAAATTCTATTTCCATGACATTTGTACCCACATCACACACATGGTATGTAACCAGGACCTCCTTTGTACATAGCAGGTAATGGAGAATTTCTGT